AGCAACGACTGTAGTTACGCGCGATTAAAATTTAAATAAATTACTCATTTAAAGTTAAATTTAAATATCGAACAATGTGAACGATTTAAAAAACAATACTTTATTAAAGGTTTAATTTCGCTTTTCGTTCTAGTTGCAACGGATATCGTCTAATTAAACCGTAATTTAAGCGGGGCACGGCACGTTGCTCATATGATTGTTTTTCTTTTTCTAGCACACATACTGTGACGTATTCGTGATATTACATAGTTTGGGTCCCCCAATGTCTTTTTAGAGTGACTTTATGTGAAGGGATCATAAAGAATGGTGATTTTAAAAGAAAATAAAAATTGCGCGCAAAATAAATGTAAACAAACTACGTAGATCGGTTGCGTATACGAAGAAAGATTATGCCGAATTAAGGTGTTGAATAAAGATTAAATAATTTTATTATTTCTAAACTCTTGTAACTTTTACGTACAATGGACGCTGGAGGATAAAGGCCAAAGAACCAAAAGCCCTCCAAAAATCCGGCGGAATGGCGCCTTCTAGGCGACTAATCTAATAAATATATGACGATAATGGTAACGCTAATATTCATGTAAAATTAAACAAATCCTGATTGGCCAGAATTCCTCTATAGAACTGAATAAAAGGATCTCATTTGCATAGGCACAGATATTGTTTACAATTTATGCAATCATGTGGAAGTTATACCACAATGCTGGTCGAGAAATGATCGTTCTCGGTTGGGCCCATGAGAGAGAAAGTTTGATGCTATGGACGTAGGAAACTTTCTCTGACAACAGAATAGACATCACCGAGGAAGCATTCTGGCGCGCAATTTCTGCGTTTAAAACGAATAAAAATATTACCTAGGCAAATATTCCTGAAGCTTAAAACGAAAATTCGAGTAAACTAAAGAATTTATGTTTATTTAAGCTCGAAATAATATCGGGCACTGCAGATTTTTATTAGTTAACATTCGCTATCTATCTATCTATCTATCTATCTATCTATCTATCTATCTATCTATCTATCTATCTCGAATGCTAACTCATATATATATATATATATATATATATATATATATATATATATATATATAAGTGAACATAGAAGTCAACACTTAGAGGCAAATGTTTGTTTTATGCCAGACGCAATCGTCAGGCCACGACTTCTATGTTCACTTTTATATTTACACACACTCTATCTCTAACATTGAGCACTTTATCCCACAAATATAGCACACCTTAAGACTATATTTCTTCTATATATATATATATATATATATATATATATATATATATATATATATATAATGTAAATCTATTTAAAAACGGTGGGTGAAAAACCTGGATATCACAACTTTCTAATAAATTGGCACCCGAGGAATGCAGATTTTTATTAGTTAACATTCGATATATAAATATATATATATATATATATATATATATATATATATATATATATATATATATATAATAAAACAGGCCCAAACACTATTGTTTCATGGTTAAAATTTAATCACGATCGAATTCATCTGACCTACAAATGTATAAATTGTAACCATGCAATATTAGTGTTTGACACTTTTATATTATATTTTTTGCTCTGTCTTGTACATAGAGCTCTACCTGGATGTTATCCACTTGGATATATATATATATATATATATATATATATATATATATATATATATATATATATGAGATGTTTCATTTAAAACGACAGACAAGGTACTACAAGAAAAATTAAATAAAAGCTTAACCGTAGTACCTTGTCTGTCGTTTTTAATGAAACATGCACAAAGGAAGGATTGCTGCTTAAATATACAACTATACATATATATATATATATATATATATATATATATATATATATATATATATATATATATATATAAATTAAGTGATCAGCCGATCACGTTACTTTGGTTTCAACCTTTCTGTATCGTCAGGCGATCCAGGCGAAATAATTTCCCAAGGCTTCATTATTTAAAAATAAATAAATAAACGGACAACGCCAGGCCATATCGAAGGGGAGGATAAAAGCAAACATATTGAAAGTGTCTCGGAGGAAGGAGTGGGTATATGAAATGTACATGTCTTCTTCCTGTTTCAAACGGACCCAAAAGGAATACAAAAAAGATCAGAAATAATTGCATAAATAGTCGAGCCAAAATACAAAACACATGGCCCGAGGATTGCTACTCATAATGCTCCATATGCAACACAGATAATGTAACAGACTTAAGACAAAACCAGTACTTTAAACAAATAAGATAACCAACCACAAAATAAATATAAACTAATAACTAAAAAAATAAATTAAACAAATAAATTAACCTATTAACCCTTTGCCTGTCATGCGCATGAATATGTGATGCACAGGACATGTGATTTTCACGTCCGTATATGTGGTGATTTTAAAAGAAGGGTAAAACTAAATATGCTTAAGAAAAGAGTCTAGTATTGAGCAGGACGTCTGAGGAAAGGCTTAATCTAATATTTTGGGCATTATTTATTACCACAGGACGCTTGACTGATAATGTAAGGTCTCAAATAAAAGACATTTATTTTTCCACTTTATTGAAATGATTATAAACTTTGCATCGCATGTGATGGCCATATTTTGTTCAATATATATATATATATATATATATATATATATATATATATATATATATATATATATAATTATAGATAACTAGACTCGTTTCTGAAAACCCTCGAATTTTTGATTTGCTAATAATCAAATCAATCTAGAGGGAAAAAAGGTTTTAAAAAAGAAAGAGCTACAAGTAAGGCTTACTTTCCCTGACGATCCGTTTAGGTGACACCTACGTAGGTTTGTCTGGCTCACTAGGTATATATATATATATATATATATATATATATATATATATATATATATATATATATATATATTGAACAATAAAATATTAATAAATTAAAATCGTCAGACACGCTTGGTTGTATATTAATATTCTTTCATTTTTATTATTTCACTTATAATCCTCGACTAGTTTCGGCCAGCATGGCCATCATCAGGAGAAAAAAAAAATTGCTTGTTAGCAGCAGTGAACTATAGAAATGAATCAGTATATATATATATATATATATATATATATATATATATATATATATATATATATATATATATATAATTGGTATATACGGAATGAATTCCAATAACCAACAATTGCTATTCTTAAAAGAGTGCTCAATACAAAGTAGAGCAGATATAATTATTATTTATAAAAAAATTATAACATAAGTATGCTATAAAATCACTACAAAAATAGCCATTTTGTTTCAACACCCTCGGTGTCTTATCAAGTGATGATGTTGAAGATAAAACCATTTATTTTATCTTCCACATCATCACTTAATAAGACACCGACTGTGTTGAAACAAAATGGCTATTTTGTAGTGATTTTATAGCATACTTATGTTATAATTTTTTATAGATATTATATATATATATATATATATATATATATATATATATATGAAAAATGGCAACAATTTTGGGGAAAAAATTGTGTCGTTATTTGTTATGCCAAACTACAACTTTCAAACTGAGTGCAATATTACGGTTCCAAAATTGATCTGCCCCAGTGTATAAGTTAACACAGAGCGTGGTATTTTCGTTTAAGGTTAACAAAGGAATAGTCTCTATAGTTCTTCCTTAATTGGATCACTGTTCAAGACACGAACGAAATTTATCTCTACCTACGCTGCTGCTGTCTATTTAAGATTCCTAGACATTTAACGCGAAACTTTGGGTTCGCTTAAAGACCAAACTTACCTTTAATCGGAAGCACACGAGTCCCATCGTGACCTCACCGAGGACTTCAAACCGATTATCAGTTAGGACATTGGATTCAAAAAGTTTGGCCAATCTGACATGCTGCAAAACAAGCGAAAACAGACAAACATTGATATATATATATATATATATATATATATATATATATATATATATATATATATATATATATATATATATATACAAGACAGAGGAAAGGATGAAGAGAAGGATAGTGGATAGATCAAGGCAACTAGAGATGTCGGATATTGGGTCTCAAATAAAAGATATCATAAAGTAAGTCATTACTACAAAGAATTACTTTATAAAACAAATTCACTGCAAGGAAAATCGAACAATTTATTGTATTGTATATTTCTAAAAAAAGAATATTAAAAGAGCGGGAAAACTAAGGACGCTTAGGAAAAGAGTCTACAATTGAGCAGGATGTCTGACGAAAGGCCTAATCTAATATTTTCTGCATCATATATGACCAAAAGATGCTTGACTGATAACTTAAAGTCTCAAATGAAAGACATTTATTTTTCCGCTTTATTGAAATGATTATAACCTTTTCATCACATGTGATGGCCAGAGTGTAGTGTAAATAACTTATGATTTGTACATACTCTTCATTACATGTGATGTGTAGGTTTTTATCATGTGAAACACTATATACCAGCACATTCTATTTGTCAAATGAGCTGAGTTACCTTGCAATAGATATAAATCTGAAAACAAGCCTGGATGTTTGGATAGTACACATGAAAAGTCTTGGCGTTCCTGCTAACTTGGAGCATGTGCATGCAAATTTTGGTGCAAATCCGTCGAAAATTGCGGCCGTGCATTCGTTACACACACACACACACACACACATCCTGCCTTATATATATATATATATATATATATATATATACGAAAGAAAAGATGTGTAGCAAATTGTAAGAAGGTTTTGTGACGCGTTTCATCTGTTTGAATTTCGTCTGATTGGGTTTGTCTACATTATTTAAATTTAATTTACAAAACCCCAGCGTCTCCATTCGTTCGCATGCGTACTCATCACAACGTGAATAAACCCATATACTATGAAATGGAATAAGTCCGACGATTATTTAATATATGTTCTGTTTATACACTATTTTTATAGATAGAATTTATTTAAGTAAATGCTTTGTTTTTTTAATCAAACAGTATTAATTATATTCACC